CTGAATACCTTTCTGCACAATATTATATATAAGAAGTCTAAAAAGGTCCTTTTGCTCTGTCACACTCTTTCCTTCCCATATCCTTACAGCTTCTCCATTCATATTCCCATTTATCCCAGAGTAAACTAGTTTTTACTGGAAAAAAAGGTTACTCCAAGCTTAAAGGACCACTCTAGGCACCCAGACTACTTCAGCTTAATGAAGTGGTCTGGGTGCCAGGTCCTTCTAGGGTTAACCCATTTTTTCATAAACATAGCAGTTTCAGAGAAACTGCTATGTTTATGAATGGGTTAAGCCTTCCCCGATTTCCTCTAGTGGCTGTCTCATTGACAGTTACTAGTGCTTCTCACTGTGATTTTCACAGTGAGAGCAGCAGCGTCCTAGAAAGCATTGTAAATGCTTTCCTATGCGACGCTGAATGCGCGCAGCTCTTGCCGCGCATTCAGCCCAGGAGGAGGATCGGAGGAGGAGAGGCAGAGAGCTCCCGCCCAGCGCTGGAAAAAGGTAAGTTTAAACACCTTTCCCCCTTCCAGAGCCGGGCGGGAGGGGGACCCTGAGGGTGGGGGCACCCTCAGGGCACTATAGTGCCAGGAAAACGAGTATGTTTTCCTGGCACTATAGTGGTCCTTTAAAGTTATCCCCATTATGTAATGCAAAATTTGCAGCAACCAATCTGGAGAGACTCAATATGGGCAGCCTCAAAGCCCAGCCTTGATCACAATTTGCTTCAAGACATGCAGGAAAACAAATCTCTCTCATATTATATATATATATATATATATATATATATATAGATTATTTTCTCAACAAATTTATTTTGCTTATGAAATGCAAATCCACATAACACTATGATACCCATGTAAACGACACAGGGTATCTGGTAAAAGTGTACTTTAGCATATTTTATTATTTTTACCATTCTATCCTTCATTTTTTTTGTTATGGCTACCTGATGTAAATCCTTAATAGAATGTACTATTAAGAAGGAACACCTGACTGACTATTTAAAATAAAAATCAACATTGTGCTTTGCTCAAAACCTTACATAACCTACACGTTAACAAAATGGTAAATAAAATACGCTAAAATACACTTTTACCTGGGTATCTATACAACACAAAATCCTGTAACTTGATTAAAAGACACAAGGTACTCAAACCAACTTGTACTCAGGTGTCAATGTAACAGCATAGCCGTACACATGTAGTAGAACATTTGCATGTGCTTAAGATCATGTGTGAATCCTCCAGAACATCGGAAGATAAACATATCCTAGATTATTTGATATAAAAGATAATGCAAAAGGCATCACATGCTTGAGGCATGGAATAAAACAAACACACAGTTGCAACGAACAAGTGTGCATCGGTTAGCAGGTTACGGGTATAAAGTCACATAGGAGGGTGGCTGGCTATGGCCAAAATAGTGCATCAATGAGCAGGTAGACTTCCTTCCAGGCTGCTCAGAAGAGGATGACAACTATCCCCATAAGGGGCAAGGATTAGGTAAGCTCAGCTGAGCTGAGAGCAGATGACAAAGATGCTGCTTCTGTTTTCATAGAAAGATGGCATAACACAAAACAGCGAGGATGCCTAAAGTTGAATACTAAGGTACGTAAAGTTTGATAACACCTCACCGTGGGCAAGCATGAAAAGCACAATAGGTTTTCCAAAAAAAAAAAAAAAAATTTTTACTCCCCTTTTTCCTTCAATACCCATGTTAAGTTGCCTTAAAAAAACAGTACCAGCAAGTTGCCATATTGTAATACATGCCAGAAACATGGCATAATAAAAATCCCGCTGGTAGGCATTTCAGGTGGGAGGTGCATTATAACAAATGTGAAACTAATATTTCTACATTGTTAAGAGAATACATTGTTGTGTCAGACATCAGGTAACATCTTGCCCCCAGGGAACTTCGTAAAATGCGTTGAACTTCAGAGTGATGATCTGAGGTCATGTTGCTTCCTGCCGAAAGTGGACCATGAGCGAAGATGGTAATGTGGAGCCATGGCCTCCATTAACTGTTTGAAAGGCTCTATCATTGATAAGAAAGCAACGCTAACAACAATAACATCGGGATTTGTTTTTGGACAAATAGTTTTGCCTGAATTTCACCTGTTTGTCCATTTGTTTGAAAGACTACTGAATGAATGCAAACTACAATGACTTAAATAAAACAAATTTCTTGCTGGACGAGATTTTTTATATTACAAGATGTTAACTACTGGCTCATGGCTCACTCCTTGTAATATATAAAATTTGAAATTAGAACAATGACCAAATTTTGTCCAAAAATGAATGAGCAGATAGTTTGGTATAGACTAAACTAATTTTCGTTAGGCAATAAATTTTGGCTGCAGTCAAGACTATTGGCCTATAAGTTGTGTAGTTTTATGAGCCTGCTGTTTGAACATAGTCCTGAAGTGCAGTCCTCCAAATTGTCCCAGGGTGGGCAGAACACGTTGTGATGCTCCAGACAGCAATGGTTGACTGGTAGTAGCAGCAATTCTTGGCTCTTGGACACCTCCCCTGTCACTTCTACAGAGCTGGTGGTGGTAATAGCAGCTATGCTGCCTGCCCCTTCCCTCAATAAAACCGCCTTATGATGGTTCATCCTGGCACCAATACTCTCCTCTTGCTGACTTCCTTCCTGCAAGATTCGCACTTCATTAAGTGCCAATCTCTGAACACTTTCTCCTCCCCCTCCCCCCAAAAGCTTTGCTGCAGTGTAATACATTTACTTCTACCCTTTAGGATGCTCTTGTGCATGGGTGAACGGGAGTGCAACCCCTTGAAATTTGCACTATATGTAGTACTACTAGGTATGGTGATTGTTGGCAGAGTTACACTGGTAATCATTCCAGATTTTGAAGAAATTGTGGTATACTATAGGTTGTACTAACATGAGCTACTAATGTGGAAAACTTTCACCAGTTGCTGATGGAAAAGGTGGACTGCTCCCTGAGTAATTCTGACTGCTCCCATCTCATCCTCTGGCTCATAGTTGAGCTCTTCATAAGTCAGACTAAATGCAAGTCCTGCAAAGAAGAACAGACAATGCTGATACTTCCAGAGGAGTAGCACTTGTTTCAGTCTACCTTGGTAATTTCTTGCACAGATGAAACTTTCACTGACTGCAGGAGAGGGAGGTGCAGTACTTCTACCTGCTCACAGTTCTTTTAGAGTTCCTAAAAGAAGACTGGGAGGAAGGTTAGCGTAGGCAGTGGCAACTCCTGTTTTGCCATTGATCCCTTGCTGCTAGAGGTAGGACTAGGGATCATCTTTGCTAAAAAGAGATGTGGTAAGGGAAGCTGATGTGCCTCTGCAAGTAGTATCAGGTCAAGCACGAGTGGTGGTCTTGAGAGAGAAGAAAAAAAAAAAAAAAAAAACCACCTCTATTCAAAGGGGAAGCTTAGAAAACATTACCCCCACTCTGTTTCACACCTTACTTTTGCATATGTTATTTGTGATCAGATGGGAAGTGATTCTGTCCACCCTTGTACTATAGGGTATCTGACCACACTGTGTTTACATCATTGTTTCTGCAGCTCTGCTTCCAACCTTAAGAGTTACTGGACTATAGAGAATATAGTTGACGCTCCCCAAATAAGCACCACAGAGAAGTTAGTAAAACCCACTCTCCCCCACCTGAATGTACTAAACAAGGTGTACTTGTCATTCAGCTTTTGCCCTGTGGCATAAGACTAGTCTCCTGCATACAAACTTTACCAAGCATATAAAGATGACAAGAATTTGCGCAAGTTTATTTTCGATTCTTGTGTACTGTACAATATTAAGCAATTTTTTTTTATAAATTAGTTACTGAGAAATGGACACAATACCAGATTACACTTGACATGCACCATGACAAAAAAAAAAAAAACAAATGCAGAGTTGCTTGGCATCATATACGGTAAATCAGCGGATACTGTTGTACTTTCAGGGTCCCCGATTGAGGAACAAGTACTTTGGGTCATAACGAAGCAAGACTGGTTTGACATTTGAGTGGTGCAAGGGGACTCCACCATGAAGTAGGGAGGGGTTCCAACTTATTTTTAGCCATTTTTATCTGATGATACTGCTAGCAAGTAATGCAGTGTGAGATAAGGAAGTTACAAGCAGAGGTTTAGTCTATTTCTGAGCTTAATCAGTAAGAGGGGCTGCATCAGATTAACGGATGGACAGGGTACTAGAAGGCAGTGTCTCAGACAGGCTTACCATTGTCCAGTCGGTGAAAGCATTAGAGAACAAGCCTGAGATGGCAGATCTGTCTGGGTTTTAATGCTATTGTAGTGTAGTGGCTTGAGTTGGCAGATAGGAGCTGTGAGATATACAGAGTAACAATATACGAACCAGATGTTTACAGAAGAACCATTAAAGCTTAACATTCTACCAGTTGACATCCTGGCCTTCTTACAACAGCACAAACTAAGTTGCTGGAGATGGCTTGAAAGACGAGATCACATCCAGAGTATACAATTTCTCTTTTCTCTCTCATTACAGTACCCACTCTCCATATACCACAAGTCTGAGGTTTTCCTACCCAAGCAATGTCATCATTAACACAATTTGACAAAAACCTACAGTAGTCAATGTCAATTTCTATCATGCATACGATTCTAGTTTCAATCTGTGCCCATGGTGCTAGCAGAGCAGAACAAAGTCCTGGATGAGGAAATCTAGCTAACCAATGTCTTTGTAGCTGCAAACCATTGTAACAATAGGTTGCAGTGTCAAAGTACAACTTTGTTCAAATTAGCATTTTATGTGTACCCAAGTATTCAACTTAACGGAATTCTCTACAGTCTTTATAATAACAGGTTTTCTGAAAAGAGTAACACATCACCGTCAAGTCAAAGAGCAACACCTACAATGTTTGACAATATCAGTAGTCAATAGTACAAGCCTAAAAATAAAATCTACAGTAGTAATTTTATTTAAGAGCTCTGATACAGATGGTAAACATCATCCTAATCAGAACATGAGGCCCATTACAGATTATATGACACCAGCCTTGGTCTTCAGAAGGGGGTGGTGCTCATCATTTCTTTTTAGAAGACTCGATTTTATTTGGTTGAAGGTCACACTTAACCCTTCATTGGTACGGTTATGGTAAGCTGTATCAATGCGTTTGTAGCCTTTATATTTCCTGTAATAAACAGAGAGTGTTACACTATGGAAGAACCAGTCTCCCAACTCCTTAGAGAGAAAAATATAAACAATAAACATTTAGAGTTGTAGTGTTAATCTACAAATATTAGAGTTCAGTTATGCAGATTCCCAATGCACAACTTGAAAGTACACCTACTTGTACAAGAGAGCACCAAGAGCTACAGCAATAACAGCCAAAATTCCCAGGTAAATAAGGATCTCTTTTACTGGTGCAGGTGTGCCAATTCCTAAAATAAAGTACATTAATGGTTACCAAAGAAAAAATAAAAATAAAAATTGTATTTTTTTTTTTTTTTTTTAAATTGGAGGTGTGCAGGTTGCTGTGTTCGGCTTTTGTTATATTACAGTTGCTTTGTATCATTGTATTTGTGCGTATGAGCTATTTTGTATATGTTCATTAGTTTGTGGTATGGTGTACCCATGATTGTGGTCAGTGTAAGGGGGGGCCACGTGGATGATATGTCACATTGTGTATTTGTTAGTGTATGTGTGGGGCATTGCATGTGGATTGTCAGTGGTGTTGAGTTTGTGTGTAGGTGGTTTGTATTTGTATGAGGGGAGGGTTATTCTGCAGCTCTGTGTATATCTAGCAGTATGGGTGGCTTCCAGTGGGGACAAAGCTGGCCAGGTACAGCTCAAGGATAGGCTGCTCTACTACAGTGAGGATTCCCATTCACAAGTGATCAGAGATCACCATGTGCTGCAATGCATAAATTGAGGATTGCCTTCACCTTTATGAATTAGCAGATATCTGAAGTTTCACTGGGACTCAGTCTTCAGGTCTGCATCTGATGTACTCACAGTTCATGTGCACCAAGTGGCTTTACTCACCTTCACTCACAGAAACAAGGGTACTTGCAAGAGCCAGGCTTGCATCATCACCCAGTGTAATATTCACACAATAGGTTCCTGGTCCCGTAAAGGCTCTTCTTAGAGTCACCAAACATTCATCAGTAGTCACTACCTCATCACAGACTTCGTTTTGTGGAATTGTGCACGTGGAGTCCGAGATTATGGTGCAGGCATCAGTGGGTATACTATTGGGTAAAAACAAATTTTCCTTATAAATTTTTTTTCCCCCCATACGGTGGCAGTATGTATGGGTTGCGCTTCTAACTGGGACAAGCATCTGCAAGATAGGTAAAGAAAAGTCCCTCCTTGACCCTAAAGTGCTTCCTCCAGCAAACCCACCTCAGTTGTAGCAGGACTACACGCTTAAGCAAAATTGTAATTTTAGAGGGAGGGAGATTTGTACTGCCACCATCTCAAAAAAAAAAAAAAAAAAATCCCAGTATGTAAAAAATTCTGACATATGGTGGCACTATGGATGGGATATAGCAAAATTACCAATTAGGTGGTCTTCATGCCTAAACAACTTTAAGTACCTATGCCCGAAGCATAGGCCATTAGGAGATTACACACACACACACACACACACACACACAAATACATAGTATCCTTGCACTCTAACTAAATGGTTACATACCGGGTGCTTGAAATCCTGGGGAAAATCAAATATCCACTTTGCAACAGGTGACCAGCACTCACGGATTCACAAAAAGGGTTAAAACATCCAAAGTTTAATGAAAAATATTTTAAAAATTTGTTGACAGCTCAACGTTTCAGTCCTCCTCTGGGACTTTCATCAGGAACAATAAAAGTGTCTCACAATACCCATCTTTAAATAGGCACATCAATTAACATAATTACACATTCAATCCCAAACTGAATTAGCATAATTGAAAGCCAAATTCAAGGAATTAGCATATAGACAGATATATATAAATAACGAGATCCAACTCACCAGTGTATATTTGCAGTGACAGCCGGCGTTCTGAGAACGCTTTCGCGCATGTGCGCCCATAGCCCCTCCCCTGTCTGCATGACCGCACGACCCCCGCTGTCATGGTGACCGCGAAACAAACCCCGCGACACCATGGCAGCAGCGGCACCAACGATCGCCACATAAAAGTGCATAAAGCACTAAAGAAAAAGAAAGAGAAAAAGAAAAAGATGGGGAAAATAGGGACCTAAATATAAAATAAACATGGTGCATAACAAGAACGCCTGTAAACACACCAGGGCTCCACCCACTGTGTGTGGCCGTTCCCATGGTAACCGGACCAAAATGCCGGTACATAAAGTGAACAGGACAAAAAAAGGCACAGGCTAAATAATAAAAATATGACAATGTAGCCTAATCATATGATTATATATAATGTGCAAAATATGATTAATATAAAAAGTGCATACAGTGCAAAGCAATGAATTGATTATATATATATATATACACACACTGAAAAAATATGACCTACTGACAGAAACACCATATTGCACTTTGAGAGTGCACATCCGGAACACAGCAAAAAATCCTTACCATACACTCAATTTCTAAGAGTATTTCGGAATAATTCATCGGCTGAACGGGTTGAAAAACAAGTAGATAGTATGTACAATAAATTTCTTATGAGGGGATACAATCGGTACATCCTTGATGCAGCTTTAGAAAAAGCTAGAATGGAAATGGTGACCACTGTCAATGTACAACAACAAATAAGGACAACAAGATTAACTTTCCCTATGAAATTCAATTCTGCTAGCACCAAACTTGTTCAAGCTGTTAAGGGGAACTGGAATATTTTAACAGGAGATCCATCTTTACCTACAATATTCTCTCAAAGTCCAATGATATGTTACAAGAGGGAGAAAAACTTGCGAGACTTGTTAGTCCGCACTGATCCAGAACAGAGTTATCTGCGGAATCAGAACAAGTTTCTCAATCCAGGTTGTTTCCGTTGCTTAGGATGTGTGACTTGTGGGCACCTTATTCCCACAAAGTCTTTTTTTCATCCACACACCCAGAAGAAATATACAATTAAACAACGCATCTCCTGTAAAACAGATCATGTCATTTATAAATTGTCATGCCCATGTGGACTACATTACGTTGGGAAAACTGACACACAATTGTGCGAAAGAATAAGGGGACATCGCTCAAGCATACGTACGGCGATTAGAGATGGCAGTACAGATAAACCGGTGGCCCGTCACTTCTTTGAACACAAACATCCACTTACAACATTGAAATGTATAGCCATTGACCACATTCCAATATCTAGGAGAGGAGGAAATCGCTCTAAGGCATTGTTGCAGAGAGAGACATTTTGGATTCGTGAATTAAATACTATGGCCCCTATGGGCCTTAATGAAAAATTGACGTTCACATCGTTTATCTAAGTGGTTTGATGAATTTCCGTATTGATTTTATTAACTTTTTCTATTTATAAACATATTTGCAGCATATATTCCCAGTATATCTAATAGGGATTAAGATATAGGCATAAAATAAGGATTTTTTTTTTGTGATTTGTGTTTCACAAAAGAATTTTTCAGGGAGGGTGGCTGTTTCCACTCCCTAGTATCTACCCATAATTGAATAGGGACATTATTATATATAAAGAATAGTTTGTCTCTAAATTTTGACACTTGGGATAATGCTGTTAAACAGTAGAACATATGTTATTATATCTGATGTTTAGGTAGTGTTTTTATATCATATAATACTGTAACCCCATAGCAATTATGTGTGTTCACTTCCTCAATTATCTGATAGAATGTATATATTTGCACCTGTCACTTTAACACATCGTTATTGTCAGCACTTTTATCTTAAGCACTTGCACTTTTTGTATATGAGGTAAATTAATTTTTATCCTTTACCTCTCTTTATCACTATTTTCTAGTCTGCATTACATTATGCACTTACACTAATAGTTTAATTTATTTTCACTGCATTAATGAAATTATGAGAATGTGAATAGTCAAACTGGCTATATTTGTTGCCAGTTTAATATGAACACTAAGATGACATCACAGCACTGGGCACTTTTAATATGCTACTACGGATCGCTGTTCCTAGCGATCTATTTACAGGTTGCCAGGGTGACGGGTAGGTTGCGTTCTGACACTGATAGTAGACGAGCGGAGTGATACACACACGCATGCGCTGTTTCTAGCGATCTGTTTACAGGTTGCTAGGGTGACGGGTAGGTTGCACTTTGATACCGGAAGTAGATGAGCGGAGTGACACTCATGCGCACTGGGGAACAGACCACGCCGGCACACAGGTGGAAACGGCTTGGTAAGTTAGTTTTTTCTTATTTAAACTGAATGTTATGTCTTGTCATTTATGTCCTGATGAAAGTCCACGACGATGGACTGAAACGTTGACCTCTTTGAACAACTGGATTAAAAGGTTTTTTTGAATTCTTTTAGTACATTGAAAGTCCTTGAGTGCTGACTTTTTTCTAAAACTATACATTTGTGCAGCCGAGCACCAGGCAATTTATAAGGAGAGCTGGAGTGCAACTCCTATCATTCTTTGTGTGTGTATGTGTGTATGTGTATATATATATATATATATATATATATATATATATATATATATATATATATATATATATATATATATATATATATATATATATATATATATGTTATTTTCACTGATTATATGCACATTGCACTTTTTTCAATATGATATATAGAGTAGTCATATTTTTTCAGTATATATATATATATATATATATATATATAGCAATTCATTGCTTTGCACTGTATGCACTTTTTATATCATATTTTGCACATTATATATTCATATGATTAGGCTACATTGTCATATTTTTATTATTTAGCCTGTATGCCTTTTTTTGTCCTGTTCACTTTATGTACCGGCATTTTGGTCCGGTTACCATGGGAACGGCCACACACAGTGGGTGGAGCCCTGGTGTGTTTACAGGCGTTCTTGTTATGCACTATGTTTATTTTATATTTAGGTCCCTATTTTCCCCATCTTTTTCTTTTTCTTTTTCTCTTTCTTTTTCTTTTTCTTTAGTGCTTTATGCACTTTTATGTGGCGATCGTTGGTGCCGCTGCTGCCATGGTGTCGCGGGGTTTGTTTCGCGGTCACCATGACAGCGGGGGTCGTGCGGTCATGCAGACAGGGGAGGGGCTATGGGCGCACATGCGCGAAAGCGTTCTCAGAACGCCGGCTGTCACTGCAAATATACACTGGTGAGTTGGATCTCGTTATTTATATATATCTGTCTATATGCTAATTCCTTGAATTTGGCTTTCAATTATGCTAATTCAGTTTGGGATTGAATGTGTAATTATGTTAATTGATGTGCCTATTTAAAGATGGGTATTGTGAGACACTTTTATTGTTCCTGATGAAAGTCCCAGAGGAGGACTGAAACGTTGAGCTGTCAACAAATTTTTAAAATATTTTTCATTAAACTTTGGATGTTTTAACCCTTTTTGTGAATCCGTGAGTGCTGGTCACCTGTTGCAAAGTGGATATTTGATTTTCCCCAGGATTTCAAGCACCCGGTATGTAACCATTTAGTTAGAGTGCAAGGATACTATGTATTTGTATATATATATATATATATATATGTATATAATTTTTTTTAAATTATTTTTATTTATATATAGGTGTATATATATAGTGATATATACGTATATAGTTATGTATATAAATATATATTATAT